GAGTTTGCCACCCTTGCCACAGTGCATTTTCTCTGTGCCCTCCCGGAAAAAGATTGGCTGTGAGCGAGCTGCGCAAGATACGATACTTGGGTTGATGGGGTCACCGTTATCACATCTCTGAGAGGGCCTTAACAGGCCTAAGCCTAAGCGGAAGCCTAAGCAGAAGCCTACGCCTCAGCTGAAACCTAAGCCTAAGCTGAAACATAAGCCTAAGCAGAAGCCTAAGCCTAAGCCCAAGCAGAAGCCTAAGCCTGAGCCTAAGCCTAAGCCTAAGCTGAAGCCTAAGCCTAAGCTGAAGCCTAAGCCTAAGCAGAAGCCTAAGCCTAAGCCTAAGCGGGAAGTCTTAGACGAAGCTGAAGCCTAAGCCTAAGCCGAAGCCTAAGAGGAAGCCTAAGCCTAAGCTGGAGTTGAAGCCTAAGACGAAGCCGAAGCCTAAGCCTAAGCTGAAGCCTAAGACGAAGACGAAGCCGAAGCCCTAGCTGAAGCCTAAGAGGAAGCCTAAGCCTAAGCCTATGCCGAAGCAAGAGCAGCCGAAGCCTAAGCTTTAGCCGAAGCCTAAGCTTAAGGCGAAGCTTAAACCTAGGCAGAGTCCAGTAATATGGAGTGTGGACTCGGCCGTCGAGCCGAGGTCTTCAACTGGACCCAGTCATGATCAGTACCGTACCGGTTACTGCTGTAGAATCAGCAGAATCTACTAAGTAATAGGGAGCAGACGGAAAGAGTTTGCCTCGGGGGATATGGGCGGAACGGCGTTTTTTGACTCTACTCTGTCAATGATTAACGCGGAGCACGAGAGCAGTACGGTGTACGGTGCTGAGGTTTGTCTGATGGTCGGCGGGCATCGCAACAGCCGACTTCGGCTCAAATGTGGCTGTGCCACACAATCATACACGCCACCTCAGTGAGTGGAAGCCTAAGCCGAAGCCGAAGGCTAAGCCTAATCCTAGGCCCAAGCCTAAGCCTAAGCCTTAGCCTAAGCCGAAGCCTTAGCCAAAGCATCAGTGTCAGTTTCAGGCGAGCAGAACACCGAGCATTTTTGGCATTTTTATTCTACGTGCTGGTTATCCATTTGCAATGATCAATTAGAAGCGTGCGGCAGCGTGCGCGCGTCCACTGATGTACAAGTCATATGTGCAGCATACCCTTCAAAATAAGCTGCCTCAGTTCACCCTGCTCTTGTGCACCTGTTTCACCTGGTGCCAGTACACTAAATAAGCTTCTCGCTTCCTCGACTTCTGATTACTTAACGCTTGCCGTGCTTTCGGATATGGGTCCACCAAAAAAACCCGCAACACCACCTGTTCAAGCAACATGCCTCTTCGCCACTCTACTACCTCGTGTACTGTATCTTGTACTACTTTTCTAGTCTGGGGACCAGACATCGTAACTTCATTTTTGGCAAAAACTGAATCACTCGGAATTGTTTTGGTTGGGTCTGAACCGTGTGTGTCAGGTGACCAGAGTCAAAAGACCACCGTGAAATCGATCCTACGACTCTGCGCTTATGAAGCAAGGAACTAGCCACACAGGGCAAACACCACTTCATCAGTCTCCATAATTAGGCTACTGGGAAGAAACCTAATTATGGAGACTATGAAGATGAAGTGCAAGCGCTAAGCTACCAAATGACTGCCGCCCTTAATGTTGTGTTGTGAGCTCTATGACTGCTAATGATATTTGCACGAATAAATAATCAAATAAATATATGAAACTTTATTGTACTTTCTTTGAAAGGTGACAATATTTCATTATTTTCAATTGTATCACATTGCATCCATCTAACGACATCGAAGACTGCTAACCGATTTCCGACTCAGAAACTGACACCGATACGGACGTTGTTTAACTTGCACGCGGAGAAGATGTTTTTTTCGGGTGGGAGGGGGAAAGAAAGGATGGTATTTGGCCTAAATCCAAAAGGGCCAACTTAGAAGTGCAAATCATAAGTATAGTTCCTGAGGAAGTAGGTGGGTTCGAAATTCTGCTGAACTCAACAACAGCATAGCCTAAGGGAGTGTGTTATCATACGTTCAAAACGCTCCCCACATAAGAATTCCCGAGAAAAATGTCTTCTCAGATTTCCCATTTGTCATGCTTACTAGACGTATTTTGGGACGCTTAATCGATTGCAACCAATCCCGGGTCTCTTTCCTGCCCAAAAACTGAGTTGCGGTCGATTTTATGTTTCAAAAGTTCGGTAGACTTGAAATTCGATCCCTTTATTCCATTTCTGGTTATAAAAACGTCTAGTACGTAAATGGGAAACTGAAAAATTAAGTTTTTTGGTTCGGAAATTCTTATGGGGCGGAGCGTTTTCATTATCATTTCTTCACATTTTGTTGATCGAACAACACACTTATGAGTTCTCCCATATTTGTTTGCTGTAGGTATCGTTGGGACATCACAATGATTTCGACCAAAAATCATTCTATCGATCACCGATCTCCCATACTCAT